CCCCCTCCACCTTCGCCATACGATAACCCTGTGGGTCAAAGTCAACGTTGTTCACCGCTGCTGTGGTCACTACCTTCTGTAAGAGAACGAGAACCACGCTCACTTCTGAGCAAGCCAAGGGTTTGCGATGGAGGAATAGTTGAAGAATATCCAACATGAGATCAATATCGGCAGCAAGGCTTCGCGCACCATCAGTGTCTGCATCATCGCAATCATCTGCCTGTCTTGAGGATAAACCAACCAGATACCTAGTCAGGTGCTTACTGAAAAATGAGGAAGATTCTAGCATACTTAAAATTATATTTACTTCTCGAGTGTACAGTGTTTCTGAAACTTGATCCACATGACTCATACACGACAAAACTCGCACCGTTAGTAGTACTGTGTTTTCATCGAGTTCATCGGCAGAAAACAGGGTCTGGCATTTCTCCTTTTGGCTCACAAGTTTCAAAAGTGCAACTTCGGATTTCTCATCAAGGAGGCTTTCCAGTTCACTGTTTGAGAAAGAAAACGCGACGCTCTTGTTTTTCATTACAGTCCTCAGCGGATAAGGAATAGACGATCGTAGTTGCTGACTTGTGGCTTCATCATCAGAGTAGTCAACCGAGTTGGAATCACTGTAACAAGTAATTATATGTACATGACGGTTAATCAATAAATCATTGGGTAGGCCTCATATCTAGTTATTCAGACATTCACATCAAATTAATGTAATCATAAATGCAAGGGAGTAACTTCCACAAGTAGGGGATGGTGTTGTCGAAATCCAATTTTCCGAAGCTAACCGTGGAAATGGAGAAAAGGGGATATATAGTAATAATCATTGTTCATAACATGTACACAACCCCCTTTCAGCCCTCTTTCCGAAATTCTGTTGCACATTTTAGGTGGCATTTGCATTGTGTGTGCACTGCAAAAACTCAGGTGTTAAATTTAGAGGACTACACCAACCCTTTCCACTGCTGTTAAAATGTTGGTTTTACGTGTGCAAAGTAATACCAGCGGTGTTAAAGTAACACTCCATGATGTGGTCATCTGACAACACTAAAGAATGTTGATTTTATTTAACACCACAAATTTTTGCAGTGCGGCATTTCGGTCCCTTTTCTCCTCAACCCTCAACGATCAAAAAAGTTAAAAAAACAAACAAACAAAGGTTACATTGATGCTGTAGCGACGGCACCGACAGGCTGGTGGGGGCGCTGTTGTGGCTGGGGCTGTGCCGGTCCCTGCCGGTGTGCTTTTGGCCAGCCCCTGCGGCGCCGGCGCAGTGCCGGTAGTCTTTGGGGATTTTCCATTACTTCAGCTTCGCGCCACTTATGGCGCGAAAATCCAAGGAAATCCAGATTTTCTTGGACTTCGCATAAAAACTCCGTGTGTTCACCAGTTTTGAGGTGTAATAAAGGCCGGAAGCCACTGGACTAGATTACAAGCGTCTGTGACCTTTCTAAGATGTGTATGAGACTCACAAAAGCGGCGACGTTACAATACCATACGTTTTTTTGAGCATGTACAGGTTAATTAGTTACAATGATTACACCCAGAATTTTACGTGTAAAATGGAAATTCTGTTTGGCTCTTGAAATCTAACTTTGGTTTAACAAAAACCAGGGTATAATCATTGGGTACACACTGGGTCAAAAAGTGTGGGATAGTACAGCGTCCATCCTGTTACATCAATGCACCCTTACATCAATGTGCAATTTGTATTTTGTACAAACTAAGATCTTTCCTTTCGTTTGTTGAAGTCATGAGAGAACAAAGTTTTTCCACCCAGGATGTAAAATAGTGCCGAGTACGTCGCTTATTTCTTCAGTTTGACTTGTCTGGTCAGATATCAATTATTCTTACAATGTCACCGTTAGTTTTCTTGATCTGGTTTTTTTTTAAAACCTGTTTTAGAGGCCACCTTAAACACGCTACCAGTCTCAGAGTTTTGTTCCTTGGAGGCACAGTGCTAAAGGTGTGGAAACTTAATTTTGAAAACACTTTTCAATTACGGTTACAGGGTCGTCAGACAGAAAATTGCTTGTTTTGAGTTTAATATTACAGTTTTATGTGGCGATGCAGTTTAAGGAAACAAACTCACATGTATAAGGTCGATTGACATACCTGTCGATTGGATCTCCGTCTTCTACCTTTAAATCAACGGTGTCTTTTGGTCTGGTCTTCGCTACAGGTTTACCTGGCGGTCTGAAAAACTTTCCCGTGATGTTAGTTCTGCTTTCGCAATCTTCACCGTCTTCCCGATTTTCTGCTTGACGATTATGCTTTGGTCGCTGTGTGTTTCTCCAGCTGGCTGCATCTGGGCCAACTGGGGAAACGCTTGAGGCTTCCACTGTTCGAGAAATGTCAAAGTCCTCCTCCAAAGTCGCCTTGCCGACTGTTCTACTAGGTCTCCTGAAGAAATCCCTGGAGATGCCTCCAGATTCCAGACCATCAGCTCTATTCCCTTTCTCTTCTAGTGGTTTGTTGTTTCTCCAACTGACTGCGTTCGATCCCTCTCCATCTGAATACCGAGGGGTAAACGAGGTACTTCCTCGGTAACCACCAAAGCTTTTAGACTCGGAACTGCTTCGAAACGTCCTGGATTCCCCTTGTCTGCCTCCTTGGATCCTCCAGTTTGACGACTCAGATCCTTGTCCGTAAGATCTCTGGCTCCAAGGGATGTCCTCCTTATTCCGAAAGCTGTGACCGCGGTGGGGATCCCCTCTTGTGTCACCAGCTCCGCACAGCTCGGTGGACCTGGAGTGTGGGAAGATTGCATCTTCATAGACCTTGAGGCTGTCGGAGATATCGTCACCTTCAGGGAATATAATTGAAGGCGCTGTCCGTGGCTTCCTTTTCCACACTCCATGCTTTCCATCTGAACTAGCGTTTTTGGCAGAGGCATCAGGTAACTGTTGTTTAGAGTGATACACATATTTGTCGGGATCATATCCGGTAGCCATATCTGCAAGAAATATAGTAATCACGCCTTCAAGTGAGAAGTCGGAAACAAAGAGGAGACATTCCAAGCTGCACAAAAATGTATTTCATTTCGTACGTTTAAAACACAGGAAAACTAGAACCAAGACATAAACTTGCCAAACACAAAGCTTCAGCCGATTAGGATTGCTCAGTCTGTCTGCCCCGAGCAGTACAAAGGAGGCCGAGGGAGCTGTTTTCAAAGGAACGGTGGCTCCTTTAGTGGGAACTGCACTTCGCTGGCTCAAGACTATGAAATGCGCATGCGTTGCGGTCGCATCGCTACCAACAAAGTTAACACTGCCCACCAACATAGCCCTCAGGGCGGACTGGGGAAAAGCTGAGCGAGCTAAAGATGTTACTTTCACTGTTTGGCTTACAACAGACTGACAAACGTTTCCTTAGTGAAGTTGTCAGCAGACGTAAGTCCGTCAATTTCCGATGCTGTATTGCGATAATGAGTATGAGAGCATATGTACATGGAGGAAAAACGTTACTATTTGATAGCACATGTACTAAGTGTAGATCTGTCACAGGTCATTTATTTTAAATTAGTTGCCAAATTTGCGCATGATTACAAGTGAGCCTAAATAGGATGCGCATGATAAGCACCCCGACACGCAGTTTTGCAAGCAAACGAGTGTAAGAAAACTTTGAAACAAAACTGGTCACTGTCACGTCACTACCTCACTAATTCTCACCGCCCTGGCATAGGATTTGCTCTTACAGTGTCATAACACGCGTCGTATTTTTGCCAACGGGTTGTACAAAACAAAAGACACATCACGACCAACTATCAATGCACCAAATTAATGTGCATAAACACTGTGCCTATTAAGTACATGTACTAAAACAACCCAAAAAAGCTATCTTTAAAATTAAAGTGTACGTGTATACATTTATAAGGTTTTTAAAATCACGCTAGAATGACAAGTTTCTGCGAACTTGGGCTGCCCATACAAATACATGTACGTAAGTGTTGTGTGTGGGATAAATGTTAGCCTGGCATGTTCGATAGTGTACACGCGCGGCATAGACATTTCGACTAATAAGTTCTAATTTATGTCCGTTGACGTTTGTGCCCGCTTGTACATTTTCAATGGGCTGATCAAGCTTTTTGCCTCCACGTCATTTGTGTGGACGGCTAAAGGTTGCAAAACGTTCATCCTTAAATAAGGACAGTTTTTATTGCACCCAAATGCACATTTGCCCCACGGTATTAGGGCCTAAGGGTTTGATTTATAATTCAGTGTTATCATAACTGTGTGAGAATTTTGAACGCTTTGTGCATGCGTTACTCAGTTAAGTGCTGTGTGAGCGATACATTTTTGGAACGCCCCAGAAGTCGATTTCTTGGTCGTGTATCAAGGCACTGGTATCAATTAATGATTGCCACAGTTCAAACAGCAAAAGCACTTATTGCTTCGCGCGCCTGTGTGGAATTCCATATCTGCCGTCGTGCGTCGTCCGTCGTGCGTCGCCCGTCGTACGTCGTCCATCGTGCGTCATCCGTCGTGCGTCGCCCGTCGTGCG